GTCGCGATCCTTCCTTTATACTTGGGGTGAATCCTACCCATTATTAACAAATAAAAGTACAAGTGGAACACGGCAATAATTATCACCAAATACCTACTCAACTAAATGTAGAAAAGTAAGAACAGTTGAAATAAGTGAATCATAAAGAGATAATTACAATTCAATTTATGTTTTAAAGGAGTAATGATTAGCAAACATGAATTTAAGGAATAATAATTGTATAATAAAATAAGAGTGGTGCCGGAAGGGCGAAAATATACTGTAAGGAGTTAGACCAAACAAATATTACTTAACATTACTATATTACACAAGACATATGAAATATATATATACAACAATCAATACAAAATGATTATCCCTACCAAACAGAGATTCCTTACCACAGGATTTTCTGAGCCTAACTAAACGTGTCACTAATACCGGTCAAGGCTAGAACGAATAGACACGTCTAACCTGCACGGATTTTCGCTACTCAGGGCATCGGACATGTCGAGCAGCGCGTCTCACGTGATCCGGACATTTTGCTAGATATTTTATATAATTAATTAATATTACTCTTGAGTTGACTTAACAGAGTAAGACAATGATGCATATAAATTACATACATAAATATACAATTAACCTAAGTAACTAAGAACAATAATAATATAATAAGTACAATTAACAAATTAATAGTAGCTGGTGTGAAATGGAAGCGTGAACAGATGCCTCAAGCTATGCGAGATCTCAAGCGCCACAGGCACGTGACAAGACACAATATAATGAGGTCGCTCACCAGCAAATCCGCAGGAGCAAACCTTCATGTGCTCAAAGCCTACTACACAGCCGCCATCAGATCGCTGGTAGATTACAGTGCTCCAGCACTCATTGGACTGAGAGAAGACCAAATAGCTAAGCTAGAAGTCATCCAAAACAATGCTCTCAGGACCATGCTCGGAGCACCCATGTGGACCAGAATTTGCAATCTGCAAATGGAAACCGAACTACCACCCCTGGCAGTACGAGTCAAGCAGGTGACAGCCGGTCTCCTCGCCAAAATCTGTAGAGCAGACAAGCCCACAGTTGCCAAGATTCGAATCAGTGCCTCCCTCCACCTCGACCACAGAGTGCGAGGGGCCACCTGGTCGCACGAGGCAAGCGAGGTCATCCGACACCTGCAAGCAGAAACACTCGTCAAGAACAACCAAGACACACGAGACAATGGTTACGCTGTTCCTCCACCATGGAGCCCTCCACCAGCCACACTCAAATTTACCGACCTAGGCGATAGTAAAGCCAACTTCCAGAAGGAGGACCTCAAAAAAATAACTCTCGAAGCCATAGCCACCGAGACACCGGCTGATGCAGTATCATACTTCACAGACGGCTCGGTGGACCCAAAACATCATAGATCCGGAGCGGCCTTCTACACCCAAGGTCAGACCCTCCAATGGAGACTTTCCAATGACTGCTCCACCCTACAAACAGAACTGGTAGCAATCTCAAAGGCCCTACAACACGCTGCAACACAACACAACAAGTCCATCATAATTCACACGGACTCGAAATCGGCCATGCAGGCGCTGCAACACAGTCAACCAAGAGACAACGTCCACATCATCACCTCGATCCTCGCACAGCTACAGGAATTCCAAAGCCAAAACCGACCAGTCGTCTTACACTGGATTCCCAGTCATGTAGGGATCGGAGGAAACGACGTGGCAGACGAAGCAGCCAAGGCAGCTACACGTTCTAGTAGCGTACACATCCAAGTTCCAGCAAGTGTGCAACAGATCAAGAATCACCTCAGAAAGACTACCAAGCTCCACATCAAAAAGAGCTTCCTTCATGCACTCAACGCTGGTTCCCAATCAGCCAAATGGTACCTGGCGGCCACAAAAGGGGAACCACCTTTCGCTGACAAGAAAACTCCAAGACAAACCCAAGTCAGCCTTCATCGACTACGACTAGGGTACAAGTGCTCCTGGCAGATGATCGGAAATGACGTCATGGAATGCACCTACTGTCAGGAGCCAGCAGCCAACCCACTTGAACACTATCTCCTCGATTGCGAGGTCACACAAAGCCTCCGAAACAGAACTCAAATCTCCCAAGAAACACACACAACACCAGCGGCCACTCTAACCCGAAAGGCCCATACAGACCACATTCACCACCTACTCCGGGTCATCACACGATACCCACCACCCAGATAGCTTAGAAAGCATCCTCTCCCAGCAAGTGCGGACCCCAGTTCGGGGGGCGCGCCACTCCGAAGCTGACCACGTCCAAGAGTGGGGGCTGGTGGTAAGCGTCCACTGATCGGGGGTCCGCTCACACTTGCAACCTGCAGTATCCCTCCAATGTGCAGGTGGGACCACCTCCAATCCCAATCCGGTCTGGCTGCTCCTGGAGCTCCAGCCGGAACCACCAAACGGGCCGCCTATAGGCAAAGGCCCGTGTCGGACTACGGTCCGACAATCTCAACAACAACAACAACGAGGAGAGTATCCACTACAGGATCACCATGGAATAGTTTCAAGAATGTTGTGTATAGTTTTTTAAACAATAGAACAGATCTAAACTATCAAAACATTGTTGAAGGTATGTTTAATAGCTTTAAAAACATAGGTAGCAAGAGTGAGTGTAAAAGTGTATTTCTTCCATTCCCATATTGAGTATTTTCCTGAAATTTAGGATGTATACTGTAGGTGAAGAGCAAGGTGAAAGATTTCACCAGGACATTAAGGAAATGGAAAAGAGGTATCAAGGAAGGTGGAATGTGAACATGATGGCAAACTACTGCTGGATGCTGAAGAGAGATTGTGCTAGTGAAAAAATTGCCAGAAAATCGAAAAAAAAAAGTTTTACCCAACCTAGAAGCCTAATATTATGTTCATATCACATCTTTCTGTATCTGCAGGCAAATAACCTTAATCACAATAATCTTTAGGTTTAGTTAACTTTGAAGCTTACTGAACTGTCTTATTTGTATTATCTTATCATATTTGTATGTTGTATTTGTATATGCATAAGTTATATTATCGTGTCTTATTTTTTATATCCATGATAAAAAACAAATCAGAATCACATCTCAGTTTTTAAACATCATTCAACTTTTCTTAAAATGCAGACCGGTGTTGTGCTTTACTGTGTAACACAGTAATACTATTTTGAATACATAAATATTACTAAGCACATTAACCAATTCAATGAACATTAGCTGCCCATACAACAAATTTCATAGTATAAATATTCCAAACGATATTGGTATTATTTTTGCTTTGGTCATCTGGGGAACCTTAAGATTTTAACTATGTGACTAAGTACTTTAAACAATAAGACGTAAGAGCGTAAGAATAGAAGAAACTGCAGCGGGCTTAATGGCCCACATACTGGGCAGTCCCATTTACACCCAACCCCTATCGCTCACATATCCATCCATTCTGTGTTTGAAGCAACTCTTCATGGGCACATTTCTTCGCTAACGAAATGTCCATGACTGAGAGTCTTAGACCTTAAAAAAACACCCTTAAAACTTACCTGAACGTGGCATTTGGGGTCTGAAGAGCCCATCCTTTGTACCACCTCCGACTGCAGCGGGGAAGGTGATGACGTCATTGCAAATGGCGGCCCTGTTTCTAGAGAAATAACATATCTCGACTATTGTAGCAAGACTTTAAACTTTTATTACAAATTATATATACCGTATCACTACGAACGTGACAGTGTATTTCTTACGTTTACCAAGAACCAACAGCCCTTCATTATTAAACTAACCACTAAGTGGGTGCATGTTTTACTCATAAGGTAAAGCAGCTTCCACTGTTCAACTTGCAACCACCATTCCATAAGTGGTTACTTATAAACATTTTCGAAACAATATAAGCCTCCAAATCAGTTTCACCACTTTACAGTGAAAAAATTATCACCAATATTTTGCTTTTTTATTCAAAATCTTTTAGGTGACTACAGTTTATTGGCATAATTTGCAACAGACACAAATCCTATTACTTCATCAAAGGTTTAATGGCGTCAGTATACAATTGTCATTGACATCCATTATACATAATTTACTGTAATAAGTAGCATCACATCACATCACACTGTGCCCAGCAAAGTGGAGTATTATGTGCGTGGAGAAGACACTCAGTGAGCCAATTACTGTATACAGGTAGTTGTAAAGCCAGAAAGGGTATTTTGGGTATATAGAATAACTTTTTACCTCTATTCATTTTGCTAAATATTGTTCACAATAAAAGTAACCAGCCTACTTCTACAAGTGCCAATATAAGTTAACAGCACCTACTAAAGCATGAGACATTCAAAGAACAACAATGATCGTTTCAAATTAACAATAATGTTTATCAATTACAACATCCAGTGTTTGAGTTTACAAACAATTTGAGTTGAAGTAAATTATCAAATTTCAAATAGAAGACTTCATAATCTAAAATGCTAGTGCTTTAGGAAGACAACCCAGCTTTACATTTTAAAATTTACAAATCAATCTTAGAAAAACAAACATATACAGGGTGTATCACAAATGTATGCAGACTGTCTTACAGATTTTCGTGGAGATCGTGTGAGTGCTTGTGTAACATCGTCTTCACTTGTGGGAGACCTCGCACATTAACAAGTGATGAAAATACATTAATGCGGTTGTAGTACAGTACAATACAAGCATTCACGTGACCTACACGAAAATCTGAAGATATGAATTACAAAAAAGCGCTGGGAACTTCGTGTTTTCTTGTTGTTTTAATATGGCATACTGTAGTTACATTTGTGATAATACACATAGGACATGCGAGTTGCATTAAAATCATACAAAATTAATCTGATATTATGGGTTTTATAAATTTTGTGTAGATAGATGTTAGAAGAAAGTGATTTTTTATTGTGCAAAGAAAGGGGTAGCTATCCTTCTGTTTAACATATAAATGATAATTATAATGGGTATAACTTATCTCAAAATTCATCAATACTTTGAATAGTAACAAAGCTTACATTTTTCATAACCAAATGAGCTCATATGAGTGGAAGTCTATTTAGTTATAATAATTCATTCATGAGGAAATATGATACATGTTTATCAGATAAAGAATCCAGTTTTAACAAGAAATGGCAACTTGTTTCTATTATCTTACTAATTTATTCATTAAATCTGTTCACGATCATACCAATCTCTCTCCGAATGACTCCCAATTTGACCAGATAGGCACATTAGTTACGAGATTTAGTAGCTCAAAAATAACTTTATAATGTAAACTCTCTTCTAAGTTAGATTAACATAAAACTCAACAATTCAATATAAATCTTCAATATGAAAGGTGTCTAGCTATTTCTGTTACTACGGCTGTCAACAAAACCAATGGGACGGAATGATGTACTCGGAGGATTGTTTTTCGGTGTAACATTTGCAGGCTGCCCAGTGACGTTTGCAATACGAGAAATGATGCCAGATACAGTATTTCTGAAAAGAAAAAAATTATAAAGGATGAGATACGGCACTGTAGTAAACAATCTATTGACAACTGTTTAGTATGTCTTGAGAGGTTGACAGGAAGTGAGATGTTTGCACTATTACACTACTTTATTACTCAGAAGAGCAAGATTCGCAGTGATATCTACAATGCCCACAGATCAGTCAGGCGCCCATTCTTTATTGGTAACCACGACTTTTAGACTGGCACAGGAAAAATGGCACAATTTTCATACTAGGAAAAAATGGCACAACAAATTTCACTTCAAGCTCACGAACCACAAACGAGCTAACGAGCCTTGGTTTGAAGCTATCCAGCGTATTAGAGTAAATGATGATGTTTGGTAACTTGTTATATCACCTTTGTTTAGCCGACTTCCATTTATACACCTCGATCATATCGCCCCTCACTCTACGTCTCTCGAGGGAGTGCAAGATGCTTTAACCTGTATCTGTACTAAAGGTTCCTAATGCCCAGGATTAGTCTCGTCATTGTCCTCTGAATTCTTTCAAGGGATTCTATATTCATTCTGTAGTACGGTGACCAGAACTGAACTGCGTAATCCAAGTGAGGTCTCACAAGCTCAAGATATAGTTTTAGGATGACCTCGCTAGTCTTGTAACTAACACTCATTCCTTTCAAAGCTTTCTTTACTTCCTCTACTACCAGGTTGGTAGCCACCCAGGAAGCGCCAAAAACTTGTTTATAAGAACCTCCAGACAAGGGCTGAAGATTCTCTGCCAGGACCGCCAAGTTGGTCGCAAGTCAGTCCAAGAGTTTTTGCAAGGCGCTGGTTATAACATTCGTTGAAATCTTAAACAATAAGATGCAATGTGACATTTTTGATTTTGTAATTAATTTATGTACGAGTTATCATAAACATACTGTAGAATGTTTTAGTTAGAGGTAATAAATGTTTTATGTTATGACGTTGATATAACTCTAAGTGAGTTTCAATAACAAACGTTATAAAATTTTAGCGAAAATATTTCAATAAAAATAAATTTGCCATTTTTTCCAAGTCTGATGATTATGCCCTTTTTCCAGTGCCATATTTTCCTATTGCTATATTTTTCTGTGCCATTTTTTCCTGTGCCATTTTTTCCTACATTCGACTGTTCACACTATAGTGACGGTCACAGTCCAGGCACGCTATATTCGCGGTCCAGTCAAATATTTTTTTATGCATGTTAATGGGAGTGTACATACTAACGATCACATTCAAGTCAAGGTCTAGTTCACGTTCAAGAGACGATCCCTTGAAAGATATTTTGACTGGAGCGGGGCTATTGTGGGCGGACCGTCATTTTGAATTGGTAACAGCCCGCTTACACCAGTCTTGCTCCAAGCAAATTTCTATCTACAGCATTTGATAACCTTGCTGCTCCAGTGCTTGGCCTCATGCCTAAATTCAATAATTCAATTCAATTTGTATCTTACCTAAGACATACAACCAACTTTTGTCTTGGAGTGATGACTACCTATTCAAAGATGATAGGCAAGATACGAGGGAATCCATATTTATTTCCTAGGTGAGGCATGTATGTCGAAATCATGGTTCCTGTGAAAAGAAATTGTGTTCGATACTTGGTTGCGTAGAAAGAGACAAAATTAGGCGAAGCAAAATTTCATTACTACAACCCCAGTTTGGGAAGTATAAAGATCCTAGGCAAGTTTTGGAAAATCTCCATTACTCATCAGTCAAAATTCCTTAAAATAACATTATAAAATTTATATTCATAATTTTTACAACAAAAACAAAAGGAGTACTGGTGAGTCGACATTTCAATACCAACTTTCTGCTGGGATCCAATTTATTTAAACAAACATTTTGCAGATTTACACCTTCTTCTACAAGTATATCTGTATAAGATCACTTTTTACTGTACTTTATGGATTAACTCTAAGTTTCCACTATAAGAATCCATATGGAAAACTACTGTCAAACTAATAATAGAAAAGAACATCGTCCTCTTGACATACTTTTACTATGTTTTTTATTAATTAATATATCAATTTGCAAAACTGCATAGGAATATTGTGTGGTGCCTCAACCTGTCCACCCACCGCAAGCCGCGCCCGCTCCTGTGTCTGTGCTGTCTCCACCAGGGCTACCTATTGGACCTGAGGACACCACCTCGGCTACCCATACCCCACCGGCATGCCGACGCACACGCCATCACAATCACACTATAAGGTATGTCCCTCAATATTGTCAAAGTCTATGTGACTCCCTCCACCCCTACTGTACCTGTCCCACCACTCCATATCACCTCCACCCCCACTGTACTTCGCCACGCCTAGTACATTGGCAACCCTGAACCTGGCCTCACTGTTTGTAAACTTTGTGGTCAACCCGACTCTCACATCCTCTCTCACTACATCCTCACTTACCCTATGACCTCCTCCAACAGGTCCCCAGACGTTACCAACACCTCTTCCCTCCCTGACCAGAAATCTCTCCTTCTAGTGACAGGCCTGGCACTTGACATTATTAGGGACCGACCACATTTTGCCATAAACAGATGAAATGTACCGGGAATTTTCCCCCACACACTCATCATTCTGTCACTTTATGTATCTTGCTGACAAAACCCATAACCCTTCAGGCTTTTACGCCCTTAATGCATGAGTCATAAAGGCAAGCATGAACTCCGCATGTTTCCCAGATGGGCGCTGGAAACGCTACTGCACTTCACCTTGCACAGGATGTAAGGGGGTGCCCAATAAACTAGTCCCCTCGGGGGGCAATCTAAAAAAAAAAATCCTTGAGTGAGTGGTGTCCGTGCCACCCGCCCCCCTGAGCTTCTTAGCTTGCGCCACCGCCGTGGCGGGGCGGTTCTTCCTCCACTTCACCGACACAGCCAGAGCACCTGACGACAACCAGAGCACCTACGCTTGGCCCGGCGCCGGCCCGACCCCTGCCCCCCTTCCACCCCCGGGCCTTGTCATGACATGACATGAAATACTAGTGACAGGGGGGAAGGAGGTTCAGGGGAAGAATAAAGGGAGGATTGAAGTGAATTTTAGGAGGAGAGAATAGGTGCAGTGGCTAAACACCGCTTGCGTGAGGGAGTGTAAGTTGGAGGCAGCAGCAACTCGCCCGGACGCGGCCAGGAGGCGACAGGACTGAGCCAGGCCAGCGTCAGGTCAAGCGTCAGGTGCGTGTTGGGTTGGGCCATGGATTCTCAGTGCTTGGTCGGCTAGATTGTGTGTGTTGTTTTCTTGTGTGGAGGAAATGTCTTGGTATTCTTCTTAGCTTGATGTAGATTTTCTTCTAACTCTCCTCCTCTTCTTGCTCTCTTGGAGTGTCCATTCGTTCGTGTTTGGGTCTTGTTGTTCGTCTTCCTCGTGTCTTAAGTCCTCATAGGTGTGGAAGAAGTCGGAAACGGTGAGGTTGACCACGTGGGCTTCAGTTCCACGGGCCTCGTGGTGTTCTTGATTCTGTGTGGCGGGTGTCTTTTCTTGTGTCATCTTTTCTTGGGTTTTCTTTTCTTGGTTTTTCTTTTCTGCTGGTTTTTTCTTGTCTTGGGAGCGTACAGCAAGGAGGGCCTCTTTGTAGCTCAGTTTCTTGTCGAGTCGCGCCTTGGCTATCCTGCACTCCTCCTTCCATTTCGGGCAGGTCCGATCGGCGGAGGAGTGTGGGCCGCCACAGGCAGCACATTTTTTTACTGTGTTGGGGCAGACCGTGTAGCGGTGTCCGGGGTTGCCGCACAGGGAGCAGGTGTCCTCCTGCGCCTCACACTTGTTGACAGTGTGTCCGTAGTGCTGGCATTTGTAACAGCGTTTCGGTCTGCAGTAGGCTCGTCCTGGCGAGATGTCGCAGCACCACCCACCTATCCGGGTACATCGCCTACTCCCTCATGCAAGCGGTGTTTAAGCCACTGCATCTTTCCCCCCTTCTAAAACTCACTTCTATCCTCCCTTTATCCTTCCCCTGAACCTTCTTCCCCCCTGTCACTAGCCATTAGTCAGTCAGTCAGTCGTCAGACGCCTCTAGGGGTTGCACTCTTTGTCAAGGATACATTAAAATGTTGTATTAATAATTCAATAAAGGGTGAAATAGGAACCGAGTCTGTGTGGGTAGAAATCACGGAAGGAAGAGAAAAACTAATTATGGGAGTGATTTACAGGCCCCCAAGTCTTGGCAAAGAAGCAGCTCAGCCCATATGGCAGGAAATGAGTAGGGCAGCAAAATATAACAACCTATGCATTATGGGGGATTTCAACTTCAGAAATATTGACTGGGACAACATTGTAGGCGACTATAAATCTGAAGACTTCCTAGACGCAGTACAGGATAATTTTTTTAAACAACTAATTACAGAACCTACTAGAGGTGACAATATATTAGACCTCGTATTAACAAATAAAGAAAATATTATCAGAGATATCACAGTAGGGGAAGAACTAGGTAACAGTGATCACAGCGAAATCAGGTTCACCCTAAATTGGGAAACGAAAAACAATGACAATATGGTCAGAGTCCCAAACTTTCGGTTGGTGGATTATCAGGGGTTAAGAAGGTACCTAGGTGAAGTCACCTGGGAACAGTCACGTCAGTTCCCAGTAGGAAGGGGTGAGGTCATAGATGACACAACAATTGATCATGACTATAATATATTCACTAGTATACTACATAAAGCACAAGAACAAAATATACCATACAGAAAAATTAGGTCAAATAAGAATGAGCCAAGGTGGATGACCAGAAAACTTAAACATGACATAGGAATAAAGAAAGGAATATATAAGAAATTAAAGGGAGGGGAGGAGCAGCTCAGAAACAGGTATAATGAACTATCTAGGAATGTTAAGAAAAATGTGAGGAAAGCAAAGAGAGGCTATGAAATCAAAATAGCAAGAGAATCCAAGGCGAATCCCAAGGGATTTTTCCAGGTATATAGGACAAAGGTCAAGGACAAAGTTGGGCCTTTAAGGTCAGGGAGGGGAGAATTGATAAATGGCAGTGAGAAATAAGCAAAGCATTGAACAGCTACTTCTTATCAGTTTTCACAGAAGAAATTTGCGATGAAATTCCAGAGGTGGAACTGATATTTAAGGGAAAGGAAGAAGAGAAATTAAAGAATATCACTATCAGAAAACAGGATGTTCTTAAGACGATAAATAAACTATAGAAAACAAAATCCCCTGGGCCGGATGAAATTTTCCCTCGAGTCTTGAAAGAGTGCAGGGAACAGATTAGCGGACCCCTCGTAAACTTATATACAAAATCATTAGACACTGGAGTTGTGCCAGACTTGTGGAAACAGGCAAATGTAGTACCCATATTCAAAAAGGGAGACAGCATCAGCTTCAAATTACCGGCCGATCAGTTTGACGTCAGTAGTGGGGAAATTTCTTGAATCAATTATAGCAGATAGCATCCGATCGCATCTAGAGAAAAGCAAATTAATCTACGACTCGCAAAATGGGTTTACAAAGGGAAAATCTTGTCTAACAAATCTGCTAACGTTTTTAAGGAAAGTCTTCGAGGTAGTTGATAATGACGAAAATTAAGATGTTATTTACTTAGACTTTAACAAAGCATTTGACAGAGTACTGCATCAGAGGCTTCTGAGAAAAGTTAAGGCTCATGGTATCGAGGGGAACGTTTTAAATTGGATAAAATCATGGCTCACCGATAGAACGCAGAGGGTCAGCGTAGATGGTGTTAAATCTGAGTGGGGCCGTGTAACCAGTGGGGTTCCCCAGGGGTCAGTACTAGGCCCACTCTTGTTCATAATCTACATAAACGATTTAGATACTGGGATCAGCAGTGACATAAGCAAGTTTGCGGATGACACCAAAATAGGGCGGCAAATTAATTCAGGGCAGGATGCAAATGCATTACAGGAGGATCTAAATAAACTGCAGGGGTGGTCTGAAAAATGGCAAATGAAATTCAACACCAGCAAGTGCAGCGTACTTAATATTGGAAGAACAAATACTTATAATGTATACAGCCTTAACAACATCAACCTAGAGAAGTCGACTTGTGAAAGAGACCTAGGGGTACTTGTAAGCCCGGACTTACGGCCTAGAAAACAGTGCGTTAATGTTCGAAATAAGGCAAACAGAGTATTGGGTTTTATATCTAGAAGTGTAAGTAACAAGAGTGCAGAGGTCTTATTGCAACTATATCTTGCGCTAGTCAGGCCGCACCTCGATTATGCGGTCCAGTTCTGGTGCCCCTATTATAGAATGGATATAAATTCACTAGAGTCCGTGCAGCGAAGAATGACAAAAATGATTCCGGGACTTAGAAACCTTCCATATCAGGGTAGGTTAAAGAAACTTAACTTGCATTCCCTAGAAAGACGAAGAGTGCTGGAAGATATGATAGAAGTATTTAAGTGGGTGAAAGGAATCAATAAACGGGATATAGATAAAGTTCTTATAATATCCGAGCAGGATAGGACTCGGAGCAACGGATTCAAGTTGGATAAGTTTAGGTTTAGGAGGGAGATAGGAAGAAACTGGTTCACAAATAGGGTGGTGGACGAGTGGAACAAGCTTAGCAACTTTGTAGTAAGTGCGGGAACTCTGGAAAGTTTCAAA